AAAAGAAAATAAAAGTAGGAAAAAAGGATATGCATATGCTACATACATACAACAACGTTTTTTTTTTTAATACAAATACGTAGTGGGATTTTGTTTTCAATTTTTAGCTGCTTGTATGTGTAATCGTGTAGTGGATGCGTGATATTTTTTTATGAATATGTATGTTTATGTATATGTATGTTTGTATGTATGCGTATATTCGCGAGAATGTTTATTTATGTGATTTATTTTTATTTTTTGGTTTATTTATGTAATTTTTTGCTAATTAGGCCTGTTAGATTTGCAGTAATCAGTTTAGTTGTTTCGAAGCCAATTTCCGCCGGAAGTACAAAAAAAAAAACAAAAACAATCTACTTTTTCATGTTTCCATGTTTTGGGTTCGATAATTTCAAACTAAGTACAAATATTTTATGCAAACATTTTCACTATACATTTTTCCGCCAGTGCTCTTCTGATTTATTCGCAATAAATAATTACATTAATTTCCTCATTTGCCTTATTTGTGTCATTTCTCAAAAAAAGCATTATCCTTAATAACTAGTACCTAATCATATACATACACATTTTTTATTTTTTGTTCTCTTGCTTTAAACTATACTTTTATATTTGCTGTTTTGCTGGTGATTTCTGGTGAGATTTTTAATTCTCATGCGTGCACGAAAATTACATATAAATATGTATGTATGCTTTATTTATTTGATTTTCCTATTTTTTTTTCTTTGTTTATTTTTCTTTTTGTTGTATACTCTTTTTAAACGGTAATGGTATGCATGTGTTTTTGTTTCATATTTCATCAGAATCCAATTTTAGCAAAGTAGCAATTGTTGTATTTATTAGCTAAAAATGCTTATAATTGATAGGTTCACACTTCATCTGCTTGTTTTTGGTTTAGGGTTTTCATTTTTATACTCGTAATTTTGTCTCGTACTTGGCTGCAGCTTAATTTAATAAATAAATAGTTTATCAGCTTCATTATTGGATAGCGTTTTTTTTTTCATTAGCTTACTCAATTACCGCCAATTAGACGATAGAATAAGGTTACTGTATATTTTCGCTGCTTGCCTTCGCTTTGCTTTTTATTTTTAGTTAGCTTTTTCAACTGATGTGCTTTTTTTGCTTAAATATAATCGCTTCTACCGTTTCACAATTTTCGGCTTCTATTTGTTTTTGTTTTGTTATTTAGTTTTGTTTCAAGCTCGCCAAAATTCTCTTAACTGGCTTCATATACGTACATACATAAGCATACATTTATCTTTTTAGCTTTCATTTTCTTTCTGCGAATGCAGTCGTCTGCACTCATGCGTTTGAATACGGACAGTCGATTTTCTTCTGGGCTAACTTTTTTTTATTTAATTTCCATTATTTTTCGGTTAAATGGAAGTATATTTTCTAAAAAAAAAAACATTTAAATGACACTTTTAAACTATATAGAGAATTAAGAAAATTTTCTTAAAATTTCAAACTGTTTTCTCCGAATTTTTTTGAGCATGCAGTTTTGTATTCCATTCAATTTTAGCTAAAAAATGCAAGTTTTAAATGCATAGCTAAAAATTACCGTGGATTTTTGAAAATTTTTTTCTGACGCTCTTCCGCAACTTTTTCCATATAGCGCATGCTCGCGTTTTTTATACTGAAAAAAAAATAAAAATAAAATCTGAGAAAAAGTGTAAAATTTTGATGATTTTTTTTTAATTCTCTACAAAGTTTGAAACCTGCATACAAGCTATGGTTCTTGTTAGGGAATGAACTGTATTTTACAGGGATGTCGTAGTCGTAGTTTTGTTCCCTAGAAAGTTAAAAACATAAACACGGGAATGAAACCTATGGGAGTGTTTTATCAAGAACGAAAGTCAGAAAAAAAACTCTCAGGAACATTCTCATCGGGAATTATATAAGAATAAAAAAGTCCTGGGGAACTTCGCAAAGGATGCATGTGGCACAACTATAAAATAAAAATAAGTTATATGATGAATATGTTAAACAAAGGTTATTATGAAATGAGCCTTTGCTTTAGCTCGGCCGAGTGGCGTAACAATACTTACGGAACATTTCTAAGAAAATAAAATGAGAACAAAATTAAAAATTTCAGAACCTAAATAAATACTTCTACCACAAAAGTTAAATGATGGATGATCGTTTCTTTAAATAAATGTTGCCCCTCCACGGCACAAAATATGCTTGATGTTACACTCACCCCTGTTAAAGGGCATGTTTTTGCCTTCTTTTCCTTGTTCAGCTCACGTCGTATTTCATAATATTGTCTTTTAAGCAACCATCTGGTTTTTAGGGCAATCATCAGCCCTGAAAAAGCTTTTAAGAAACGAACACAAAATATCCTCATCGAAAAAAGAGAGAAAAGGGCAATCGAAAGGCGACATTTTTCAGAAGAAACGAAAGCACCATGAAATAAAAAAAATGCTTTTCTTTCTAAAAACGAAAAATCTAAAAATTCCAATAAAAATATGAATTAAAGAAATTCATAAAAAAAAACAAAAAATGCGAGTAAATTTATATACTTTATTTCTTGCGCGAAGAATATATAAAGCTTAAAAGGGCCTTGCCCGCAGGCAAGGCGGTGTCCATCACCGATTTAACGCAATAAGAGTAAGTCGGAAGAATGGAGAGGACTTCTACCCGCATAAGAAAAAGGCAAATATAAAAAAAGCTAAGACAATGATACTCAAAGTGAGCTTTTACTCTATGTACGCCCATATAAAATCTACAAAAAGCTTTAAAAAATTTAAATTTTCTGCTTTATACTCCCTTTAGTAGAACTTCATTCAAATTAGCGTTGGCCATAGAAATCTTTTATTCGTTAACAGTCATATGTTACACGCACAAGCATCTTAAAAAAAACTTTGCAAAAACCAATCGTTATTTAAATTAGTGAAAATTAGAGAGAGATTTTATTTTGCATACATTTACATAAATCTAAATCTAAAATTTATTAAAAGCTTTAAAAAGCTTCTTGCACTGGCTGCACTTCATATTAGACTAAGTTTTGCTCATGTAAAAGTTCAGACGAATTTATTATTTTAGCAAAAAAAAAAACAACAAAACTATCGTATAGCGAAAAATAAGGAGAAGGTAGAATAAAAAATGTTCAATTTTTTTATTGTGGTATTGATTTATTTATTTTCACATCTATACTTTTATAACGCTGCAGTTGACAAACAATCATCATTATTTTTTACCGTTACACTCAAAAGCTTTTCATCATCATTAAATAGTACATACAACTATGTTGGCAACACTTTCCATTTTTTAAGGTAGGTAGCAGTTTCATATTGATTACTGTTTTTGTATTTGTATGAGTTTACAGTTTTAGTTGTTTATTCGTATTATTTATTAGCCTTAATTTAAATTTGCAAAGCAGCTATGTTTGTTATACATAAGTGCTAGCCAGCTCATATCGCCCATACTATCTTATTGCAAAGTTTCTGTTTCATTCATTGTTAGTTAGAAACATGTTAGAGGTATTCTCTTAGCCATGTAAAACCGTGTACAGATAGCATAAGAAAACCACTTCTATCGTGAAATTCGTGCATCGTGCAAGGCTCTTGCAAGACTTAGTGAATACCCCTATTACTCTTTTTCGTATTAATTGTTTTAAGATTCAGCAAGAACTAAACCATCAAAAAAAAAAAACAAAAATGAAAAACTGTAATAGCCAGTTTTATGAAAGAAATTTAAGTGAATAATGGTTTTTTTTTTTATTTGAATTTAATATGTAAATTGACAAAAAAAAAAATATTTTTCACTTAAATTTCTTGCGTAAAACCGGTTGTAAGTGTTGCTGTGTTAGCATGATTTTTGTAGTTAGTATCAATAATTTATTGCTTACATACAGTTATTTGTTGCAGCAAATGCTGCTTCTTAAATCGTTTTTAGTTAAATATTCATTTACTTGCATTTATTTTTTATTTTCAAAAACTTATCACAAAATTTATTGGGCGGAATTTTAGCGTGTACGATACATAATATTATGTAATGAGCAGAAGACGAAGAAGAGTATTAATTTATGTGAAACCTAAAGAAATTAGAATCATATTTGTACATACATACATATGCAATTAGATATGTATGTATGTATGTACGAAACTTTAAAATGAGTATACATATATATGTACATATGTACGAGTTTGAGAATGTGATAACCAACTTCTTAGTCTCTAATTTGCTGTAACTTTTGACTTTTATTAATAGGTGTGTGTATGTGTGTGTGTGTTTTTTTTACTTATAATTCTTAACTTTTTTTCACTTGCTTTCCTCTAATTTTCTACACTTTATAAGCTTATAAGCTAATGACGGCATAAAAATTCAACCAAGAAAATTAATCGTATTACGAGCAGGATCTATGTATGTACATAGATGCGTTTCTTCGCTATTTTTTGCGCTTGCTTTTTCCCTTTCTTTGGAATTGGTATAAATGGTAGGGGAGCTGGCGCCGGCGCTGGCGATGTGTAGGTGTATATGTGTAGGTATGTAGGTATGATGCATTTTTATTTACTATATTTGTTTGCAGGTTTACACACTTGTTTGTTTGCCGTTTTACCTTCTGACAGTTTTTGCTTTTCTATTAAAATGAAAATAACATTCTTTACGATTTCTATTCGATTCTGGATATTTTTTAATTTAAATTTCTTAAATTTTGCAAATCTGCATAAGCATTGCAGCAAACTTCTTTTAATCAGCTCTTTTATTTTTCTACTTATTCCTTATTAGATACTAACAATATGTACTTTGCAATGGCAGCATTCAAAGTGTAAGCCGAATGCAAATCTGCGCATGAAAACCGAGCAATATAAATTTGAGAACAAAGTTTACGTTATCTGAGGTTGAGTGTGAGAAAATGAGCTAAACTATTTGTTTTTTGTTTAAATTTTCATCTTTTACTTATGCTGTTTTGTCTTTATATAAAAATCAATTTCAATATAAAGTTAATTTTTTTCTTATCGCAAGCACTTTTAATTACCTACATATACATATTTTTCGTTTTGCATTCTCTACGCGTTTTTATGTAAATACAAAGGTTACTTGACTCTACATCAATGCTTGTTCGTCTTGCTCTTCTTCTTCTTCTTCTTTGTTTTATTATATATGTATGTATGTATGTACTTATGTAAATGTAGCTGTTTGCTTTATATATATGTATGTTGTATATTTTTACTTGTGTAAAGTAATGCTTTAAGTAAATGAAAATCATAAGTTTGAGATATCATTTCTTACTTAACACTCTGGTGTTGCTTCACCTCTTGCACTCGTTGTTCGGTCGCTTTTGGCTACATACATACACACATATGTATGTATGTATGTATAAGAAATCCCAATTTATCTGCTCCAAATCATTCCTGCTGTTGAGCGTTTTTTTTTTTCAAAACTCTGCCACCATTAAGTTTTATTTCGCTTAGAATACCAGCATTTGATCGGCACTTCCTTCCGCACTGTCATCGTCGTCGGTATCCTCATCTTCATCGTCGGAGGTGAGCGATGAGGCATTATTCACAACAGACTCTGTGTCAACAAAGGAAATAGAGAAAGAAGAAAAGAAAATAAAAATTACCTTGTAGTGAAATGGGAATGCCGAGAGCTAAAAAGTTGTGCTGGCACATTAGTTAGTCAGTTTGACAGATTTGATTGGCTTAAAAGTTAAATTCGATCTACCCAATGCGGCGGAAGAGCACTATTTTTACTTCTGTACGAAAGTATGTACTATGTGTACATGAATGTATGTATGAATTAGAGGTTTACGCCGACGGGCTTTGCGGCGGCGACGCCGGCGCTACTGCCCATAAGGCAGACTCCATGAGGCTAGTTATCTTATCATGTCATCTCGTCAGCGTTAGGCATTCGCCATGCCAATCCAGAATATAGTTCTACTTAATTCATTCTTGAATTGGTTTTTGAATTTAAATAGGGGCAGGGCTGAGGTATATACTAGAGATGGGCACGGGACATCGGGACTCGCGAGGGCCACGTACTAATTTCAAAATGGCCGGGATGCACGGTGTCGGGAAGGTCTTTAATAATTTTGCGGGCGGGACGGGGCTCCCGATAAAAGTTGCAACCTCCGAGAATTCAGAAAATTTTCTTTAAAAACGTCTTATGAAATAAGCACTTTTTTATGTTTTATTGAGACGAAAACGAAATAACCGAAGATGCCAGATCTTTCATTGTTTTCGTTATTATTTGAAATTAATTTGAAATATGAATTAATCTTAGATAGATTTAGTCCCGTGCCCATCCCTAGTATATACATACATACATGGTTCTCTATGTTCTCTACTGATCTATAAAACAAATGAAAAATTAAGTTAATGGATTAATTTTTGTCGCTATTACAAATTTTTGAAATAATCTTATTTGCCGTTAAGTTAAATTACGGAGTTGTTACGATTTTTTTCGGATTGTGGATTGAAAACAAGGGCGGTCTACTTTTTACCAACAGTTTAAACCATCAACCAGAACGGGCCTTTTGACCCACTGTTTAAAAAGTCGCTTATAGATGGTTAAAATTTCCACTAAAATATTAAGCACCAAATTTTTCTAATCATAACCGAATGTAATGAAAAATAATACTAATTTTTACCAAAAAGCGTGAACTTTTATCCATTAAACATTGCGATGCGATGGAGCAAAACCTTCCTGGGTTTTGATCACCACTTAAGAATGCTAACGCGATTTTCACACAACCATCTATGCAGTACTTGTATACGTATGTGGGACCTCAGAATAAAATAACTTACGAATGTAAAAATTAGCCAAAAAAGGTTTTTTTACACGATTTTATTAGATTTAGCACGACTAAAAAAAGCCCCTTAATCGAAATTTTAATGAAAAAATTTTTTTGGGTGACATAATAATTGTGGCGAACTAGCGGCGAAAATAAAAAATTAAGGTATATTCCAAAGCGAATCTATAAAATGTGGTGCTACCGGCGAATTTAGATTTTCGCTACGATTGTACTGATTGTTAAAAAGATGTGTTCGTTGTAAATTGTTGTATTACGAATTCGCCTTGTTTACAACAAACACATAATGTTGACAATCTGCAAAACTGCAGCGAAAATCTAATTCGCCGGTAACACCACCTTGTATAGATTCGTCTTGGCATCATCACTGGCGCATTTTCGCCGTTGGATTCGTCGGATCTGTCAAAATATTGTGAATGTTACTGCCATCCCTAAATCGGCGCCTCAAGCGCCAAGCAACTGTCAAAAATCCTCATGCCTATACAATTTGTATGAAGCATCCCACAACAACGCGGCCTTAACGACGAGCAAATGGAATTTTAATTTTTAACAGGGCGTTACGTGTTGAAGTTGGTTGCAGAAGACGGAAAGAAAGAGAAATGACAAAAAGGTGAAAGAGGAAATGAAAATAAAAACGAGAGGACTTGAGAAAAATGTCAAAAATTACGCCGCGTTGATTTGGGGATAGCGCGCGCTGACACTCGTTGACAAATGGAAAACGCAACGCTTAGCGCTCCAATTTAGGGACGGCACTTATTTACATTCGCTTCGCCAAAGACATTCGCTTCACAACTCATAAAACCGTCAACTTTTCAAAATCTGTTTAGGGAATTTTCCTTTCTAATTTGTTTTCATAGCAGGTTAAGTATGTCTATTTTTGTATTGTTGTACATAAAAACTTAATAATATTTTTTTTTTTTGTATGAATAATTTATTTTAATTAACCTTTTTTCTATGTAATTCAGGTCCTTTTTTACACAGTTTTTATTAGACGCGGGTTTGTCTGGAACGTATAAAAACAGAATAAAGTATATATCACTATTCAATATAAAAAAATGTCGCCATTGTGACTAACTCTGTGGTCATTAAATGCTCATAATAAGCAACTCAAAGATCAACTAAAGCGTTCCATATGTTTTGCGTAATTTCCAAAAGCATAGATATTTGGCAAATCTAACCCATGCTTGTTGCCACTTAAACATATCATCTGTGAATATAATTGTAAACTTTGGATAATTCGAGTAACTTGTATGCCGGCACACTTGCATACTTGCGTAGTTTGTACTTCACCCATAAACTTGTGGGAAATCGGCAATCAGCAAGTCACTTGTGCCCCAGCAATATTTCCTTGGCACAAATCACTTTCAATGCAGAAGGGACATTTAATATTGGCAGCGTTATTCACCTTCGGCACCATAAGCCTACTAATTAAAGCCCAAGCGGCTAGTGGACAACAAGACAGCTGCTGCCAGCCATTGCCAAGCAATTAACTATGCAAGAAGTTTAAACTCGAAAGTTTTGCAACTGCCAACCCATGCTCTTAAGCAAGCTCGCATACTTAAAACTTTCTTTGGAATACTAAGTATGCAGCCATGCGGATTTTTTCTTTGTTTTATAGTTATTTGTAAAGTCATGTTCTTCCATTCACACATACCTACATACATACTCGCTAACTCTATAAGCCAATCGAATAACATGCCTATCTACTTACTAACCAATTTACCTGTGCCTTGATGTGAACAAATGAATTTACAAATTTGTCATGCAACAACTTACCACAGTTGGGTTTGCCTCGGGTGCGTGTGTTGGCGAATTCGACTCCATGCTTGTCCACACACCAGCATACGCCGACGGAGTTGTGACACTGGGTAGGCTTATAGAAGCCCTGAACATCGCAATCCGGTGCATAGGCGCCTTAAGTACGACAAAGTAGGCGATAGAGGAATTGACAAGGGAAGCATTAAACCGTAATTAGATTTGTATGTTAAAATTATTGCGGAAGTTGAAAGTGGCTTTTTGATTAGATATATAAAATATATAAAGCACAAGCGGATAAAAAAATGTTGTAATTAAGATTAACAACTAAAAAGCATTAAAGTGTGCTTAGAAGTAAAAGGAAAATATATTTGAGAAAGTAATATAAGTAAATACAAGTATATATGTATATGTGTAAGTAGTATAACTGGAAAATTTTGAAAAAAAATTTAATAAGCTCGATTTAAAATTAATGGTAATTCGGGTTGTACATTAAATATTTAAATATTACTAAGCGTATTCGAAAGCGTCTTAAAATCTCTATGCATTTATGTACAAAGTTCTGAAAAGTGAAAGCGCCATAATGCAGTGTAAAGTGCCAAAAAGTTTAAGCTTCAAAACAATTGTTTAAAAATTTTACTAAATTTATTTTGAGTGTGCGTGCGTATTATGTATGTAGTGTAGTTAGTGGTATTTCAACAAGAGTTTTCATATATGCATATACATACCTACATAAATAGTATCTATATAAAATATAAGTTTTTTTTGCCTTTTATCCTGCACTAATTGAAAGAAGGAAATCAACACGATATCAATATTCGATCTGGGGTCTGTAACACAAAGTTTATAAATGCAACAAGTCTACAAGTTATTATACTATTTGTTAAACTTGTAACTATCAGCGAAATATTCTACACTTGTAAATGTACCTTCTACAAGCATTTGTAGATGCATTTCGATTTGCACTTTAATATACAAATTTTGAATAGCCTTGATTTTGTTATTTACAAGCTAGAGCTCTTGTTAAAAATTGACTATCCGGCTACTCGGTTAGTCGACTAGTCGATTAGCAACTTTTTTGCGGGTTGATAGTCGAATTGCAATAATTCGATTAATTGCGCGCATTCGACTAACCGCTCACTATCGAGTAGACTAACCGAAATGATTCGAATAGTGATAGTTTTTCACCAGAAATTCGACTAGTTGTTTGTGAGCGGTTAGTTGAGAAAGGCGAAAAGAATCGGTTAGTCGATTATTTTTTGAAGTCAAAATAAAAAAATATATATTTGACTAAAAATGCATATTATATTCGCGCTAAAAATTAATTTAAAAACAATATTAACAAAAAAGTTTTGATGGAGATTTTAGTAGCGTGTAATGTCTTGTAACGTGACGACAGATAAAAAAGCAGGACAAATTTTTGCATTTTGGAACTTGGAAAATTAACCTCAAATATTTCAAATACTACTTCAAATAGTGTTGATCAAGTCCGAGAGTTTTCAAATCTTGACGGTTTCGTTTAATTTTATAACATTTTGTCATGCCAAGCCAGATGGGAATGGCCATATATTTGCACCTTTCCTCAGCCATATTAAAAACCAAGGAATGAAACCGATTCAAAATAACGTTTCGGTTTGGGTTTCGGTTTTGCCAAGTGTTTCGGTTTCGGTTTTGGTTTCGTTCTTCAAAATTTATTTCGGTTTTGGTTTCGGTTTCGCTCCGGTTTCGGTTTTTCACAGAAATTTTGTTAATATTATTTAAATCACAATGTCTTAAACGTTGAGGAAAGAAAATCGAAAATTACAGTTCACTGATAATATCAACACTAGGTTCTTTCCCTAACAATCGGGACCGGATTTGGTAATTAGAGAATAAGAGAAACATTTTCTTTCAAAAATGGAACAAAGTTCAGAAGTACGGAAACGCAAAAACCCACATTTCGTGCCCACAAGTCGAGAAACAGCTGATTCGCGTTGTTCTTGTTTTTGTCACTTATACCATGTTCTGACCGACATCGGAAACATGTTTTAGTTGCTAAAACTTTTTTTTCGATTATTTATCGAAGTGGAAGTCATATTTTATCATCTTTAATACGCCATTTCGGATTTATTGTTAATTGCCTGGCCAAAGCAAAATAAGAATGAAAGTTAAAGGTTGTAAATGAAAAGAAAATGAAGGAAAAATGTTTTTTTGTTGTCGGTCAGAACACGGTATTAAATGCAAACACTTGGAAATTGAATTTTGGTTTCACAAATTTGATTTTAAGTTCATAGATTGAAAATACATCAACAGGCCATTCACTTTTCCTTAAAAGCACCAAGTAAATGCAGGCAACATGTAAACACAATACAGCTGATATGCACTTTGACACTTTATCCATTTTTACTCGGAGAAAATTTCGGGCTGTTTCGGGCAGGAAGAAGAATACACTTACGATCGAATACGCTCGAATTTTCGCTCTCTATTACCCATTTTGTTGAGTACAGGCATGATTTCTGGGCTATTTTGGGCACACGCGGGATCTCGCATTGCGTACGGGAAAGAAACTACTTAAATATAATTAATCGATTATCGATTCACAACAACAAAGTCATCAGCAGATTTTTGCGAAAGTTACCTTGCCATACTTATTTACTACTTAACAAGAATTTTAGCAAAATGTTGCTGATTTTGGTTAAATAAATCATTTATTTCAAAGAAATTTTTATTTATTTATTATTTTTGTAAATTTCTGGAAACCGATTGAAACCTGTGATTGAAATGGTTTCGGTATCGTTCCTTTTCAGGTCAAGATAACGGTTACGGTTTCGGTTTCGGTTTTGAAAAACGAAACGGTTTTAAACGGTTACGGTTTCGGTTTGGGTTTCGGTTTCATTCCTTGTTAAAAACTATTTTTATTATAAAGTACAATATATTATTAATAGCATTAACTTTGTAATGCACCTTTACGATTCGATACGATACAAGGGTTCTGGTACTCGATTCCAAAAATATCGTTTGAAAACTATCGCTTAAAAAGTATCGGTATCGAATGGAAAAGATATTGATATGGTATCGTATCGAAATTCCTTGTCCCTATTAACAAGAGCTCTATTACGAGCATTTGTTTTCGGCGGACATATAGCTCTTGCGGTGAAAAATAACACATATATTATTAATTTAATACGGCTGCAAGGCAAACAATATTGAAAAAAGTTGCATTATTAACAAAAAGTGAAAGAAAATAAAGAAATTCTATCTTCAAGCACAGTTTCACACTGTTCTTGATTCAGTCTGAACCTGAGAAAGTACTCATTCTCTCTCGATACCGATACACTTTCGGTTTTCACTTTAGGAAGCACTTGACCACATATCGACAGAAAAATGGTATGCTAACGGCAAAATACATACTTCACTCAACTGAGTCTACTACTCAGCGTTCGAGATAGGTAGAAAATTGTTTACAATTGTACAAAAAGTTCAGTAAGTACAAGTGCGCCACTTGTACCTACCTACAAGTTGCTTTGTGTTTCAAAATATCTACATACACTTGTTTAACTGTTTAAGAAACTATTATTATTTATAAAAAATAAAACTCCATTTTTGGAGGTATTTTCAAATCGGTCCAGCTCACTTTAATCTTAATAATTTTCCGAAATATTTTGGTCGAACAAAATTTGCAGAAGAAATAATACAAACGGGTCAATACAAATTGAAATCACTTGTTGAAATACCCCTTTTAATCTGTTTTTGTTCAAATATTTACTACTAGCTAACTATTTACTACTAGCCAGTGTGTGTGTGTGTGTGTGTGTCTTCGTTTAGTTTGGCGATTCTACTCTCTTGTTTTTTTGTTTTTCATTTTCTCTATGTGTAGCAGTTAAAAAACGAGGAATTTAAAGAAATAAATCATTTCAAGAAATAAAAGTCCACCTGTACCTATCTCACCTGCAAAGTCGCCAGCGATTCTTCGTCGAACCGCGGCGCATGGGCGATCGGTCTTCTCGAAGCAACGGCACCATTCGCGCGTATTAATCGAATTGTCCTGATCAAGATCGCAAGTATCGATGAATGGTTTAATGCAGCGCTCATTCTGATCATGTTCCAAATCGTACATTTCCTGTAGCGACAAATAGCCATCGTTGTTCAAATCCAAATGACCAAACATCCATTTAGCTTCGGTCTTGCAAGCGGGTGGGAAATGCGCCTTCGATTTTTGGCTATGCTGACGGCGTTTCTTGCTGTCAGCCATTATGACAGAAAACCAATCAAGCAGGCGATTGCCGATAGCGGTCAGCTGTTGTGGTTTACATTCGGGCGATTTGGATGGGAAACCTGTTGGGAGAAGGTGAAATGAGAGATTAAGCGATTAAAAGTGCTTCGCTGGTTGTGTTAGGAGTGCTTATACATACATACATACATACATTTGTATGTCATGTAAGTGTTTACATATTTGTGTCGAGTTGAAAAGGTCACAATTAATGCGAGAAATAATGCAAATTGTAGTATTGATTGCTGGTGATTGAGTGTTGTGTGGTGCTCTACACATACATATATACGCAGGCACATATGTACATACATACATATATATGTATGTATTTATATACATACATGCAGATTTAAGTACATATATGTATATGTATGTACCTATAAGATTGCCTCTGATTGTGATTACGTACCATTGTTCAGGCTATTTTTGTTGTATTTTTGTGGTTTCTCGATAACCTCATTATAACCACGAATTTTATGTTTATCCTCTGGATATTGGCTGTCCTGCAATGAAAAGGCATAGGACAATTTAAATCAATTAAATTTACGAAAAATGTTCTATAGATTATTTCAATAGTAATACTTGTGGACATGGTGAAATCATTAAACATTTATTGAGAACATATTTTAACTATCTTAAGCACGAATCAACACTTAAAATATTATCAAATATAAATAAGTAAAAAGCATGTAGCAAACTTTTCAAACGTATTGCGACTTAATTGATTGGCATATTATAGGGATTTAACCTACATAACTAGCTGGACTCGGTTGCGCGAGACTTCGCTACGAGTGTATTTGGTTAACTGTTATTCGAATAATTTACCGACTTTGACGGATGTGGTGTATTTATAAATATACATTATAATTTTTTTGAATTTAAATTATTATTATTTTTTTTAAGTATAGTTCATTCAGGAACATAAGCTTAAAAGTTTTTGCATAACTCGCGAAAATTCAATTATCAACAATTAGAAAAATAATCAGAATCTTTAGACAATTTTTGTATATGCAGGTTTATAGCCCGTTAAATTTCGGTAATAAAGAGTTGTGTTTATTGTAATTGTTGTATTTAGAAAATAAAATTTTGCTTAAAATCCTCCGAAACAGTTCTTAAAAGTTTCTTTTCTTCTGACAACTAGAGGAATTTACTGCAAAACAAGTTTGCGGCCATAAATACCCGTATACTGTTGTGTATCGTTCAGGAAAAAGATAACGCGTCTTTGGTATATTTACACTAATCGCAATTTAAATGAATAAATAAAAAAATTTGTCAAAATATAACCTCTCAAATTCCATAAAAAAAAAAACGATGTAGAATAAGTTTATCCACAACGTCAACAATGGCATGCCATTCAAAATGTGAATATAGAGTTATGCGTGATAATGACTGCTTGTCAGAGAAATTCCTTGCCACTAACTCTCTGAAAGTTATCGAAACAATTGTGTATGTACTTATGTACTATGGAACAGATACCACAAGTGCTGCGGTAAACGCAAAAGAGGTAAAAGAACAAGGACACGCAGAGCAGCTGTTGCAAAGGGAGGCAAATACTTTCCAATTGCTTATACTATTAGAGCCACTCCTACGAAATTCATATTTACATGCTCATTTGCACTGTAAGGACATGCATTGTGTGCTAACTTGTACAACTACCATGGAAAATTCCAGCTCAATATAAGACATCGCTTATGCTAGTGTGGCCCAACAACAGCAGCTGAAGTAGCAACTATTCGAGAAATTTCATTGTACATACATATATACATATATGTAAGTATATACATGTAAGTATATATAGACCCTTTACTGAAAAACTTAACCAGTATGCACAAATTCCAATTCCCGAATTATGATTTAAGGATGAAAGTCATACCAGTTCGTTATGTACTCTAACTATACCAGTTCCTCGTAAAAAAAAGTAAACTATTTGGTGAAAATTCTACTTCTATTAAGCGGCGGCCTACCAGTTCGACGATTGCCAAAGTCAAAGCTTAAATTCACTTAATTGCTTTCCTCACAAATGTCGGCTGTGGCGTCGAGTGAAGACTACCGATTCTGGTCCTGAGATCTCAGGTACGACTTCGCTTAAAAGTGGTTAAAGCAAAGTAAATAAGTAAATTATTTCAAAAAAAAAAAAAAAAACTAAAAATTTTAAGTTTCCTTTCAAGCATACGCATATTTGCTAAAGGCCAGTATGCAGCTCCCAAGAATAGCAAAAACTTTACATAAAATGATCTACAAGAAATGGCTAAGAATTTTTCTTGCGTAAAATTTTCTTGAGGCCGTACGCAGTTCTTAAGAAATTTGCTTCGCTTTCTACTACGATTTTCTAAAGCTTTTTTGTGAAAAAAGAGCTCAAGGCAACCCATGCTTGCAACAGAAATATATGCCCGTTCCATTATTTCTTGAGGAAAGAGTGAGGCCACATGCTGGTGAAGTATCAGATGTCAAAATTCCTTGGACACACACACACATACACACGAAAAAATGGCAATTTTTTTCTTGACCGTTTTCTTGAGAGAGCTGCATACTGGCCTTAAGCACCAAATAGTAACAGGAAATGTGATAAGTGCCAAAGAATACAAAAGCTTTTCATTGGAAATCTACATAAATCCAAAATTACGAATTTAGAACTAGTTCGGAACTATCAAAAAGGGATTAGGGAAAAAGGGGAATTTTACTTTGTAGGATATCGCAATGTTGCTAGATTATAAAAAAAAATTGACGCGTAGTACACACGGTTCTAAATTGGCTAGAACTAAACCAGTTCGGCACCAATGTACAGGATACCTATTAAAGTGGTCCAAAAATGTATGTAAAAAAATAAGGTCGGATTTTTAATGCCGCCACCCCCTAGGATCGTTATATACCGAAAAAAATATACCCATATTTTTTTATTTTGAAATCAAAAAATATTTAGGGAGTGCTCAAAGCGCACAAAGTTTTCCATGTATTTTATATGGAGAAAAAACTATTTTTCGTAGAAATGGTATAAAACTCTTGAAAATCAATATTTTTCGACCGGAAGACTGTGGTTCTCTTCAGGAGACTTCCAGTATAAATATCCAATTGTTTATTTAACCATTTTTTATGATAAAAGATTTTTTACTGGTCCCCCCCCCCCATTGCATTTTCTAAGGGCTTTGGAGGACCTATAAAATATATTTACCATGAAAAAATTGTTAAAAAAAAACAATTAAGTATTATTACTGCGAGTCTCCTGAAGATAAGAAAAGTTTTCCGATCGAAAAATATTGATTTTCAAGAATTCTACACTATTTCTACGAAAAGATGTTTTTTCTCTATATAAAATACAAGGAAAACTTTGAGCGCTTTGAGCACTCCCTAAATATTTTTTGATTTAAAAAAAAAATTGGGGTATATTTTTTTCGATATAGATCAATCCTAGGGTGTGCCGGCATTAAAACTCCGACTTTATTTTTTTGGACCACTCTAATACCTATGTATACCTAAAAGGCCGCTGTAGCGGTGCTCATTCAGTTTATCTGGAATGACTTCTAAAAGTTTTTCTTCTCCATTTCAATCAAATAATCGGTCACTTATTATTTTCACCTACGACCTGTAGGACCGATTACACCGTGCGACGAAAACGGAAAAATTTCAAAACACACGAAAGAATCGATATACTCACGAGATTGTGTTTTTAATTTTTCACTCTGACGTCACGATATATTTTTCAAAGGACTTCGAAATTTTATAGATATGATTACTTAAAGAAATTATAAAAAAAAAAAATCAGTGCAATGTGGAATAACAATATGGGTACCAAATGAGAGAGAAAATTCTGATGACTTTAAAAACAATAAAGTTTTTTAGTTTACAAGGACGAATTGGTATTGAAAATGCGCTTTTTATAAATTTTATTTGCAGGACGAAATTCGATGATGAGGTCGTGCGAATATTAGTCCTCAAACAACATTTTATTTTTTAAATATTGCAAATGTTCAAGGATATTTAAGCACAAAATTTTTAAAGCACATTTTCCATACCCATTCGTACTTATGCACCAAAAAATTTATTCTGCTATAATTCTACGGAGTTTTTTCTTTTATATGATACCCTTATTATTATCCTACATTGCACCGATTTTTTTTTAAATATTTTTTTTGAAATAATCATATTTTTTAAATTTCTAAGTCTTAAAAAAAAATCCTGACGTCAGAGAAAGAAACTAACTACTATAATTTACCCATAGTTTCGCGAATATATTCATTTATTTGTGTGTAAAATTTACTGTCGGCGTTATCGTACAAAATGGTCAATGTACTCTTTCCTATACTGTCAATAGAATGCAAGGAGAATAGTTATGTTTCATACTTAGAGAAGTGACAATGTCAAAAGAGGTAAATCGTATTAGCAGACTTTAGTGACATAAAATTCGTCACTGCCAGCGAAGATTGAGCAGAAATTATCTCAAAGTCAAAACCATAACACGAACTGTTTGAGTACTGGACCAAAATCTAGTCGTGTTATTTACGAAATTGCAATTGAAAATTTTCATACATTCACAAAATAAACCGCTGATTCGTTAGAAGAGAATACGGCATTAGTTTTCCAATCATTTTCAAATTGTTTCCCGAACCCAATGTTTATAGGGAAGTTTTGATTTTAAAATTTTAGCAAATCAAATTATGATATCAAAAATGAAATACGTGGGGCGCATGTGATAGACTTTTTACAAATGATTAAATCGATCTCAAATTGTGTACTTGCGCTATAGAAATTTTTGGGTCTATCTTATATAGTTTTAGTCTTGAATGAAATTAATGAATATATGGGAAAAAAATGTTTATGCTTTTTAGCCTAAATAGCATATGTATGTGAAGTTTTATGGCCGTGCCGACTTTTAGTTGAAGTTTCAGTTAATAACTTTCAATCAATCGTAATCTAATAATAAGACTTTTGCAAAGATTTTAAAATCAAACCTTATCAAGGCAAATTTTATGAGTGTAGGATAAATTACTTTCTACTCTTTAGTCCTTTTATAGGAACGTAATATATTAAAAAGTTATTTTCTTTACTTTATTTTTAATTTTAAATTTGTGCAATTGCTTCAGCAAGAATGGTGGGCATAGAAATGCTCTCCTGCGTGAAGTGGTTTCCAAATGCATTGGATGTACATACATACATATGTACATGTATAAATACTCAGGTTATATATATATATATATCCTTATATTTATATCCTTTTATATACACATATATTATGTGGTTCTTTATGCGGATTTGAATTTATGCGGTTTTTCAAACCAAGTTGTTATTACATTTTTTTAGGCAATGCTTCTGATAATTAATTTGTGTTTACATTCTTATATAATTGTATGTATTTGTGGTACTTTTTTTGGTTTTGACTAAAATACAGAAAAAAGAAATTATTTATTTAATTACTGTTCAGTTTTACATGGAATAACATGGAAAGTGTTGAAGTGAAGAAATAAATTGTTTTGCTTTTGTTTAATATTTCCTCACTGGATTTTTTATGCGAATTTTTGAAACTTTTTACATGGAGTATCATGGAATTCATGCGGTTGTTGAAAATGCTAGAACGCATCCCTTGTGTTTGTATGAAAGTAAAGAACTTTTTTATGCGGTTTTTTTTTTATGCGGCTTTCTGAGGAACGCATATACCGCATAAAAAATGGCCTAAGTGTACATAAATACACGCATTCATATCTACAAGGATGAGTCTTACTTATAGTATGTATGCAGTAAATATGTATAAGTATGAACAATACAACACTTACCTTCTTGTAGGCGGTATACTTGAGGTACTTATAGTGTTTATTATCGTATTTGATTTCCTCCGGTGTGAATGTGAATTGCGAATTTATGTGATTGTAATGCCGATTGTTATCATCCTTATCCTATGCACATACGTATTGTATATCGATGTATATTGAGTGGATGTTGCCCGATAATGGTGATAACGGTGAACAGCGACGCAAGAAGCCAATGCAAAATATAAACAGGCGCCAGTGAGAGCGGTGAGCGGTGCGACGAAATAACGTGTTCGGAAATGTGAAAACAACGATCCACACCAGTAAACACATTAACGAAAAGCAACGAAAAATGCGGCGTCCGAATTGGAGTCGAAAGCAATCAGCGGTAGCAATGTGGCATGTGGGTGGTGGTGGTGGTGGAGGTGCGTTGGTGCGTTGGTGCGGCAGCAGTGCAAAATAAGCGAAAAGAAAAAGCAAAGAAAGCACAATGGTTTAGAGCAATAGAAAAATTTGTTGTAGTAAAAAAAGGCGAACAGGCGGCGTTGTAGAAATTGAAGTAAAATTTACGATTATTATTTATTCAGGGAATTGCACAAAAGGTACCAATTCGCTGTGCACGGCTGTGCTCAAATTTATGCTCCACCTAAATCAATATACAACTCCCAAAATGCTTTGTCCCTTATAATCAAACACGAAAATTGTATATTTACAAGTACATATGTACTATGTATGTAATTATATTTTTATATACACAAGTATGTATATACATACATATGTGCAGGACGAAGAGTATGTATGGGTCCACAGTGAAGGTTTGCTGGTTGACAAACACAACTTTGAGAATAATCCTTATTTTGACGTGTAGAAAATCTAAACTATTAATTAACTGGTATAAACTGGTGGTGACGTTTACTAGTTCGGTAACTGGTATTACCTGATGCAGAAGCTGACTAGTTTGACAATTTCGAATCCATGCAGCCAACGACGAATGAAGTATTGAAGCCAAAGTAAACCCAGCTTTTTATAAATAAAATTAGCTCTAAGCTTAGGAGGTCTGCATAAATTTTTTTTTTTTTTAATTTGTATCAACGAAACAAAATAGTTTCGGCTATTTTGATTTTGTTTATTTAATGTTTATATTTATTTTATATTTAAAATTCAAGCGCTGGTTAGGCCACATAAATAATGCTGAATTTCCACTTGGAATCAAATAGCAAAAATGACAAATGACAAAGTTGGGCTTTAAAAAATAATCATTTCATTACGTTTTACGCATTTTTTTAAATGGCATAAATTTTTTCTTATTTAAATTTTAGATAAATCCACATTTCAAACTTCAAACAAAAATTATGAAAATTGGACAAACTTTAACATTTGCACCCGAAAATTTTAAACATTCAATTCAAAATTTAATTTTCAAAAAAGTTTTGGGTATGCAGTTTCGTAGCTTATTAAATTTTAGTAGGTTAAAGTGCAAATTTCAAGAAGCTAGAAAATCGTGTTGATTTTTAATAATTTTTTTGGCTGACCGTGTTGTGCATTTCGTTTCTATGGGTGAAATTGCTTCCGTTTTTCAAAGTTAGCCACCGAAATCGAGGTATGGGCCTTCGAAGTTCGAAATTGGACCTTATGTAAAAAATATTTTTAATTATCATATGTAAACAACTAAAAAGCGGTATATAACTTTACTTAACTTTTTATACAGGTGATATAAGGGGTCAAAGGTCAGATCTTCGAAAAATTAAAAACCTTATATTTCTAAAAATTTTGAACTTATTTTTAAGTCTGTAATATAAGTTTGCATACCGTTTAAATAAGAGAAAAGATGGACTGCGTATACATATATTTTAACTTTTTTAGTTATTTACATACAATATTTAAAAATAATTTTTTAACAAATTACCTATTGCGAACTTCGAAGGCCCATATCTCGATTTTGAAAGCTAACTTCGAAAAACGGAGAAATTACTTCTTTGGTTTGGTGCAATATCCAGAAAAAAAGTAAATTTTGCCGTGTAGTGTAATGATTGGAGATTATTCGTGCTTTACGTTTCAGCATTTTTTTTTTTGAGGATTTTTGCGGGTACTTTATGATCTTTTCTTGACTTTTCCGGGATTTTGCTGAACGGTTTAAAATAAATTCAAGAGTTTCAGAATACAATTACATCGAAAAATTTCCTTTTTGGTATTTATAAATATGATTAGGCGAACTGTTTGCCCCTTATTAACCGACTTCCAAAAAAGGAGGAGGTTTTTTTTTTGGCAAAAATTTCGCCTTATTATTTTTTTTTTTTATGTATGTTACCGCATAACTTTGCACCACGTCAACCGATTTCAATAATTCTTCATGGATCATGAAATATATAGATACATATATATATATTTTTTTTAAGTCGGTTTTTTTTTGCTAAAAATTACTTGTTTTTATTACAATTTTATGGTTGTTAATTCTTCCGAGAGAATTGGCAATTTCCAGGTTTTTTCTCAAAATTTGCAATCAAAGACTATGCCAATGCCGATTTGCATAGAAGCTGCTTATCAAATACTGGGAAATTCATTTTAGCTATCTGTTGCTGTTACTCTGGTTATCAGCAACACATTTTTATACCCGAGCGCACTTGTGCACAAGGGTATATTAATTTTGTTCACATAACGGTTGTTTGTAACAGCCAAAACGAATCGAGATAGATATAGACAAATGTATACATAAATGCTCAGAATGAATAGAGAAATTGATTAAGCCATGTCTGTCTGTCTGTTCGTCCGTCCGTGTACACGATAACTCGAGCAAAAATTAAGATATCTCAATGAAATTTGGTATGTAGGTTTCCGCTAATCCAAGGTAGGTTGGTATTGAAAATGGGCGAAATCGGACTGTAACCACGCCCACTTCCCATATAACGGTAATTTCCAGAAATACGAAAACTGCGATATTTTAGTAACTACTGAAGATAATTCACTCAAAATTGATATTTATAATAAACTTTAGACAAAAAAATAAGCATATTATAAATTTTTGGAAAAGGGGCGTAGCCACGCCCACTTATGGTTACATGTGTATATCTGGTAACCGCTGCACCAATTTCTTCCAAACTTGGCACAGTTGTTGGCCTTGATACAGCAAACTAAATGGCCGAAAATTTAAAAAATCGGACAATAACCACGCCCACTTCCCATATAACGGTAATTTTCGGTAATACGAAAACTGCGATATTTTAGTAACTACTAAAGATTATTCACTCAAAATTGATATTTACAACAATTTTCAGACGAAAAATAAGAATATTATAATTTTTTGGAAAATGGGCGTAGCCACGCCCACTTATGGTTACATGTGTATATCTTGGTAACCGCTGCACCAATTTCTTCCAAACTTGGCACAGTTGTTGGCCTTGGTACGGCATACTAAATGACCGAAAATTTTTAAAATCGGATTATAACCACGCCTACATCCCATATAACGGTAATTTAGAGAAATACGAAATCTTCGGTAAATCAGTAATTATTGAAGCTAATTTATTCAAAATTGATGCTTGCAAACAATTCTTCACCAAGAAATACGTTTATGATAAAATTTTGGAAAAGGGCGTGGCACCGCCCACTTATGATCACATATATGTAGCTCGGTAACCGTTTCACCAATTTGTACCAAACTCGGTATGGTTATTGTGCTTGGTAAGGTGAAAAAACATATATTTAATACTTGCGCCGGGTATTTAATGTTCGGCTCCGCCCGAACTTAGACTTTCTTACTTGTTTTTTTTTTTTTAATTTCAATGAGCAAAATTAACCCTCAAGTTCGTTAATAATACGCATAGTACTCGTGTGTAATCGGTTAGTTACGGTTCTTACTTCTGTTATACTTTACTTACATCCATAATAGCATTAAAATTGTTGCTATTCAAAGTGTTGTCCAAATTATCGTTCGAGTTGCCCAAAATATTATTACTATTGCTGTTGTCCTTGTACATGAGTTGTTGTTGCATTTGTTGTTTCTGCTGTTGTTGTTGCTGCTGCTGTTGTTGTTCAATTGTCTTCTTATATTTGGCATTGAAAGCGCTCTGGCGCTCATTCAAACGCTGCAAGCGTTTACCATCGGTATTTTCTGGCAAATAAAAAATAAATAAAACCCGAGAAATTTAGTAACTGTGAATAAAGAGAGTAAATAGTATGGAGTAGTAAATTTATTAATTAAATTATTAATTGTAGTTAGTATGGAGTATTCCAAATAAAATTTCATTAGCGCTGAGGTGCTTCAATGTTTTCGAAGAAATTCTTCAGTATCTATTTTGTTAAATAAATGAACAGAATAATGTTCGAAGGCTGTACGGATCCTGGATATATCTATAGAAAAGACTTTCTCAGTCACAGGTGAAAGTAAATTTTGCTGCGACCCAACAATTTTTCGAATATTTCTAAATCTATGATTCTAAATGCAATAAAAAAAAATCTTTCCATTCTGAATCTTCAACCAAAGAAGCAAGTTGTTAATAAAGAAGTACATAAGAAGAAATAGTTTGTTTTCATGAAAGAAAATTTTTGCATGCGGCTCTTAATCCTTGAACCAGAAACTTATCTGGTCGAATATAAATGAACAGTGGTATTCCATTTGGCAGTCTCTTCCACATCAGCAGCGGCTATAATTATGACTATCACCACTTGCCTGCCGAAGGTCGATCGTTATTAGAAAAACCGAGCTTGAATCTTGTTGTTGTAGCAGCGTTACCACAACCCTGCATAGATCGGTGAAGTTGTCAAGGGTGACCATAGACAGCATCATCTGAGGGTAGCTCTAGAAAAATTTTAGTTCCAATTAGATCTGCCCAAAAAGAAAAGGTTGTTAGATGAGTTTGAGTTTTAGTTAGTTAGGTGCCGTGAGTTTCTATCTATATGTTGGACACACGTTTGGTATATAGGCGTTAGATCTGGATCCAGACTCAAGCCGTCAAACGTGACACTAAAAACGGTTATGTTATAGAAATTGGTGTGCCCTCAACATTGACGTATAGTATCATGTCATGTCCTAAATAGGGTCGCTAGGGGTCAGAAGCTACGAGGAAAGTCATCTACTCCCTGTAGTCAAATGTACCAGTTTTAAACTAACTTACAACAAGTATGAACCGCATGCCCAACTAGTCAGCCAACTATATTTTTCCATGAAATGAACTGGTATTTTTACCATGGGGATGTTCTACAAGATGGCAATTGTCATATTTCGGTCAGAAATATACTAGTTCATAGTAAACAAAAAAAAATACTAGTCCAATTATGGACCGAAACCACTACTTTTGGCCTTAAAAAAATTAAATGAATTCATGCATATATGTACAATAAAAAACGTTTGATTAAGTACACTATAATATATTACACATTTTTATTTAGCAGCCTTAGATTTGCCATTAATTAGTGTTAAATTTTTTGAGTATTATATTTCAACTAGTATTTTTCCTGACTAGTTTGGGATTTCACTGCAGGGCTACGGTTTGTTTCGGTTAAGTGTTTATAGCGCGAAGGGCAGTGGTGGTGCTGTGCACTTTCCGACCGCTACGGTGCGATATTGTCTTAGCGATAAAAACCTTGGTACTCTTCAGAGATTATATGCTAATCTAACCACTTGTCTTGGACGGCTGCCAAACTTTTGATAAGCAAATTTTCGGGTTTGATAAGATGGAGTTTTTAAAAGCATACCGGAGAATGTACTTACATATATATTTTACAAAACTTTTTTATGAATGCAGAATCGCACAGAAACAATTAAGAGAGTAGAGGTGAAAAATTAACTAAAACATTTTTATTTTAACAATACCACCACTAGGTTATATTCGTGAGGAATAATTTTAAAACCGCCATTTTTAATAGCCTTAACTTGTTTGTTTGCTTTTCATTTGTTGTCCTTTAATGTGGCACAATACAAACAGGATTTAATAAAGCAGCTTAGTGTCTCAGCGATAGTAAATACATATGTATGTACATATTTTTTTGCTGTGCGAAGCCACACGAAATGTTTTTGCTGTACATAACTTATGTATGTGTATACATTGGTATATACATACATGCATAACTATATATATTTGTATATAAACTATGTAATTAGTATCGTGTTGTAAATTTACTAACATAAAGTCACGAAAACTGTTTACTTTATATTGGGATAGGTATGTGGGTCGTTCTTAAAAAACATGACCAATTGGTGTCCCCAGACTTTACTATTTTATATTTTGTTTCTTCAAAAAGAAAATAGAAAAATATATGCATTTTTATAAATTATTATCGATTCTACGTAACTATATTATAAAAAAAAAATAATTAATTATCTGAAAATAACTTAAAAAATATTTTCAATGTCAAAGGTTTAGCAAAAACCTGTGTCCCGAGCCAATTTATAAAAATTTAATAGTTATTTTCAGTTGAAATAAAATTGAAAAAAAATAATATTTACAATTTTTGTTATTCAGTTTGTGTATATTAATACCATATATAGAAAAGAATGATGAAAAATAATTTTTTTGTATAATTTTTATGAAGAAAATTTGTGTCCCCAGGTTTTGGTCCCCTCTGTTACGTCCACTCATTTTATTGAAAAATGTTTGTTAAACGTTATGACGCGTATATTTCTCTTATGCTTCTCCATCATAACTTAGCTAAAATCAACAAAATGTGTTTTGAACTGTTCAGTCTTGTTTAGTGCGTTGTTGAGTAAGGAACCCAATTGTATGCCGGGTACGTACCCTTATTCAGTGTCAACTCTGTTACTGTTGAAAAACGGTGAGTAAAGTGATTTTTTATTTATTTTATAATTTTTTTATAAATATTTTATGTACATTAATTAAGTGGACAAATAAATTCTCCAAAATTCGAATAAAAAGCTAAAATATGGTATTTTTGAGTTAATTTGTCCCCTCTGTTACCGGTCCACTCTGTGACTTATTAACTCCAAAAACTCCAAAAATTAAAAAAAATACTGCTGGTTATGGATTCATATTGTTGATACCATCCGTAACCACATGAGGCCAATTATAAACATATTTGGCCAACTTAATTTTTAAAAATTACAAAATTCAGAATGGTCATGTTTTTTAAGAACGACCCATGTACGATAAATTAATAGCCCATCGCCCCAGTGATTGCACATATTTTCTGTAGTTTTACTATATGTACGTACATATACCTATGTAGTAATTGCATTTGCATTGCGCATTTATGTACAGTCATGTGTGTGGTGTATTCATAATGTTATTTGGCCATATCAAGTTAATAACATCGATCAATTTTCATTTTACGTGAACTTCTTCTTCTTCTTTTTTGGCGCTGTAACCGCCTAAGCGATTTTGGCCGAGTTCAGCAAAGCACGCCAGTCGTTTCTCCTCTGTGCCAACTGACGCCAATTGGAAACGCCAAGTGAAGCCAAGTCCTTCTCCACCTGATCTTTCCATCGCAGTGGGGGCCTCCCTCTTCCTCTGCTACCACCAGCGGGTTCCGAGTTGAATACTTTCAGAGCTGGAGCGTCGGTGTCCATTCGAACGACATGGCCAAGCCAGCGGAGCCGCTGTATTTTAATTCGCTGCACTATGTCTATGTCGTTGTAAAGCTCATACAGCTCATCGTTCCATCGTCTGCGGTACTCGCCGTCGCCAACGCGTAAAGGACCGTAAATCTTCCGCAAAATCTTTCTCTCAAACACCCCAAGAGCCGCCTCATCGGATGTTGTCATTGTCCATGCTTCTGCGCCATATACCAGCACGGGCATGATGAGTGACTTATAGAGCGTGGTTTTCGTACGTCGAGAGAGGACTTTACTCCTGAATTGCCTACTCAGTCCAAAGTAGCACTTGTTGGCAAGAGTGATTCTACGTTGGATTTCAATGCTGACATTATTATCGGTGTTAATGCTGGTTCCCAAGTAAACGAAATTCTCTACTTTCTCGAAATTGTAACTGTCAACAGTGACGTGGGTGCCAAGGCGCGAATGTGCTGACTGTTTGTTTGATGACAGGAGATACTTCGTCTTGTCCTCGTTTACCACCAGACCCATGCGATTTGCTTCCCTATCCAACTTGGAAAAGGCAGAACAGACTTCGCGGTTTTTGTTACCGATGATGTCGATGTCATCGGCATAAGCCAGCAATTGCACGCTCTTGTAGTAAATTGTTCCTGAGCGGTTCAGTTCTGCAGCTCTTATTATCTTCTCCAACATCAGATTAAAGAAGTCACATGAAAGGGAGTCGCCCTGTCTGAAACCCCGTTTTGTGGCGAACGGCTCGGAGAGGTCTTTTCCAATTCTGACGGAGCTGGTGGTATTGCTCAACGTCATTTTACACAGCCGTATGAGTTTTGAGGGGATGCCAAATTCAGACATAGCGGCGTATAGGCAACTCCTTTTAGTGCTGTCAAAAGCGTGAACAGTGAAAATAAATTTCACACATGACCAGCGCTAATTTATTTGTGACGATAGAAATACTGACATACATACATATGTTCAACATGCAGATTTTGGCAACAAACAAATTTTGTTATCGGTCATTATGATTAAAGTGCACTTTATCCTAACTCCAGTGTTAGACAGAAGGACATGAATGAAGAGTTTGTTTATCATTAAGATATTATGTGAGAACTATCCCCATGCACCTTGAACAACAAAATTCTACTTTTTGATAAATATTGTGTGGACAGTGTTGCCAAGTTTTGAATTTGAAAAAGCACTAAAACCCAAGAAAAATCGTGTTTTTTCTTAAAAAAAAAAGCACACAATTTTTTATTGAGAATTTAATGGAGTTTATGTGCATACAAAAATTTATTGTATGTATACCGATTCAAATGAATGAAAATTAATGTTGCTTGATTGGCAGTCAGTCGAATTCATTCTGTTTTCTATAAATTAAAATACTTTCGTTCAAACGACGCGACGTAAACCATTTTGTTCTTATTCTCTAATTTCCAGCGTTGCCGTTTTGCTTAGATTTGTGCAGTTTAAATATTAATTTTTCTTCGGTTTGCTTAATTTTTTCTACAAATCCTATCTAACGAAAGTAAAAACAAAAAATTATGTTTCATAAACTATGTACATATGTGGATAAGTTAAATCTACACTGTAGTCTCTTATGATCTCGTGAACTAAATTAACGTAAAGAACTTTTCTTTCCGACCACTTCAAATCTGAAACATAACAAAATTTGATTCCCCTTTTTAAAGTGTCTTAATTGAGCGCATCCATCGGGTGTAAAAAAGCTGCATACTCGAGTATTCCTTTTTAAAAAAGGTAAAATCGGACAATAACAATAACCACGACTACCGCCCACATAACGGTAGTTTTCAGAAATACGAAAACTGCGATATTTTAGTAACTACTGAAGATTGCTCACTCAAATTTAATATTTACAATGATTTTTAGGCGAAAAATACGAACGTTTAACTCCCAAACTTGGTACAGTTGTTCGTCTTGGCAAAACATACTAAACGGCCAAACATTTTTAAAATCGGACAAAACCCAGGCCCACATAACTGTAATTTTGGCAAATGCGAATTCGTCGATAAATCATTAAATACTGAAGCTAATTTATTCAAAGTTGATGCAATTATTCAAAATTGGTTAGCAGAAAATACGTTTATATGTGTATCTTGGTAAACTTTCGAGTAATTTTGTACCAAACTCGGTATGGTTATTGTGCTTGCCACATAAAAGCAAAACGCTGAAATTTTTTGAAATCGGACTAAAATTACGCCTACCTTTTATATAACGGTAAATTTCATAAATGCTTGAAGCTTCGATATTTCAAACGATGAGGACGGTAATTTTCACAAAATTGATACTAACAACAATCCCTTGAAAAGAAGTAACATTATTTGGAATTTTGGAAGAAATAGCAGTAGAATCACCCCTGCATAGCATGTAGCGGTATTTTTCGGAAAGGTGAAAAAAACTATATTTAATACTTGCGCCTCTTGGGTATCTAATGTTCGGCGAGAGCAAAGGCATTGCTGATCGCCATCTTTAACATTATTTCTGCCACAGGCAGCACAACTTTGGTTTGGCCTTTTTTCAATAATCAGTTTTGCAAACAATACATACACAGGTATGTACATCTCAAAATGAATGCATGTCACTCATAAACTTATCAGCTTAAACGTAATTAAACTAATTAATATTATAATAAAAAAATTGTGTAAAACCTGCGTCAGTAAACCACAGGAGCAAATGAGTATAGGCGGTTAAAATCGAAACAATGCAACAAAAAATGTTGAACATAATTTACATAAAATAATTGAATGGAAAATATTTACATTGAGTGCATAAAAATGCCGGAATGCAGGATACAGCATTTAAGTGGTTGACGTTGCAGGCGCCATACAGTGGATACACGCTCTTAGCCGAGCGCAACAGCAGTGGTAATAATGAAGAGGTTGCTTATACGCCGTGACACGCATTCGAATTGGCGAGTGTAAGGTAAAAGTACATATCGGTGATTTACTAAAAGACTGTCATAACTCAAAAAACGAAATTTTTATAGCAAATGGTGGAAGTCGGTGTCTTTTTCCATTCTAAATTTATTTTTGCCGCGCATTGCAATTTTACAATCTTTTCCCTTTCTTTTGGTGAAGGGCACGTAGGGGCACTCTAGTATTTTTATTGGCAGCCCCTTTTTAAAGCTTCATATCTCAGTAGTTTTATGGCTGCCTATATTTAATATAGAGGCATTGTTATCTTCATTGCAGCCCATCTAAGTGGTGAATAGCTTTTTTGCGTTAAGTATATTCCATATTGAGCTTTCTTCGGGCTCGAACCTAATATCGCCTAGTTCGAGCGCTTTACAGTTTTGCGCTTATTACATTAGGAATAACTTTGGGATTGGATTGAAAGTATCAAGCAACGCGCAAGCGCAAAGGGCTCAATATCTGCTTATACTGCAATTTCAGAAAGCAGTTCCATAAGTAGTCACACCTTGCATGTAAAGTGTCTTTCGAAAGAAGCTTTTTGTTCTCGAAAGCCGAAATTTTTTTAATGCTTTTTGGCTGTTCACACATCGAATGAACTTCTGGAAATCTTTCTCGATAACGAAATGCAACTGTGAGCCACTTTACCGCTTGTTCATTATTTCTCTTCGTTATAATGCACGTTATTTTCAGTATAAAGAATAATTTATTATAACAAAACAATTAAATTCCGTAAAATAACAGAGGTTTACAAAGAAAAAAAGAAGCTGTCTGCATATTGAACCAAACCTCTACATCCCTATGTTAATCGACGCGGTGAATGCAAATCCGAGGTCAATTGGCCCCCATCACTTCAGGTTCGAGGTTATTTGAAGATAAAATAGGGAAAGATATCATTAAATAAAACTAAAATTCACATATATATATGTATGGGGGTTTTAGACTCGCGCTGAACCCGAATAGGAGGTCCGTTAACCTCCATAATGTCAGCTTCGAGGTCATTTGAGGGACAAATAAGACAAACAAGTTATTCAATAAAAATAAAAATAAATTTGTTTGTGTATTTTGAATTTGAATGAGGTCCCTTTATTTTTCAATGAATTTTTCCCTACTTGAGCTTCAAATGACCTCGAATCTGGCATTATGGAGGCTTACAGATCTCGAATTCGCATTCAGGAACTTTTTTATTGTAAATCTGTGAAATTAGTTAAAATCATCAGAAATCATTCAAAATTATCCGTTATTATTTTTCACAAACTCGCGAATAGTTTCACACAGCAACACACGATTAGTTTGACAGCACTTGCAGCAGAAATAAAAATTGCTAGTGCAGCACAAGTAAGTTGCAATATATATGAGTTTTCGAAATCGGTTTTCGCTCTTTCTTGACTTTTATTTCTGAAACTGGTTTCCGAAATGTGACAGAAAGGTCTTTCTGGCTGTTCACACATAAAAATAAAATTTCCCTTTCTCAATTTGACATCGAATTGCGTGGACAAGTTGGTGAAATATTGCCACGTCTGACACGCCCTTAACTCTCCTAGAAAGTTGTTTCAGTATCTAAATAAGAGAAATGGCACACTGATGGCTCAATGACCGACGAGGGTACCGGGGTAGGGTTAGTTGGGCCTAGGTTAAGATACTTGGAACCCATGGGAAAACATATGTACATATGTCTACTCTCCAGGCTGAAACATATGCCATAGAAAGAGGCGCGCTATCTTAATTGACAGCCAAGCGGCTATCCAGGCTCTCAGATCTCACCAGGTAACATCTAAATTAGTGTTGGAGTGCCTTGACAAGCTGAATACTCTTGGTCTGACCAATCAGGTTGGGGTTCTCTGGATTCCGGGACAGGTGCATAAACCCCTTTCACCGGCCCAGAGCCCTTCTGTGCCTAGGGAAAAGGGGCACGCTCTGAACTCGTTCGCGTAATACCAGGTCTAGAGCAGTCCAAAGCACTTTTAGGAATATATAATCTAAAACGCAAAGAAAAACTTAAAAATTGTTACAGAAATCCTGACAGGACACTTCCGGCTGCTTAAACTGGGAATTTACTCGCAAGAGCGATGCAGATTTTTCAGGACGGAAAACGAAACTGCATCTTAGAAGAATGTCCTGCACTGAGATGCACGAACGCAAAATGCACCTGGGTGAACATCTGATAACCAAAGGCGATTTAGGTTCCATAATCATTTTGATCGAATACTTTTGTCTCATTACTCTTTAAATGTTGCAACATCATTTCAAATGCAAATGCACCCATTTGGCTCCTAAAACCTAATGTAAGCACCAGCGGCAACTGCAAGTTTTCATTTGTAATTTCAATTTTATCAACGCAATATGCTTTGCTCTTTTTCCATTTGGCAAATTGCAAATTGCAGTGAAAGCATGTCAACTGGCGATTTACTTTTCTACAGTATTAAGACAACTTCATTTTTACAAGAGAGCTCCTTGATACACAAAAAAAAAAAAGGACTATTGAGTCCTTTACCACATACATACATAGGAATGTCTAGATAGTCACCCAGCAAGTAATTGTATATATTGGGGCCTGCCCTTCTCAAACCAATTGCTTCTTCTTGATTTCAATGCGGAGACGCTACAAGTTATTCGTCGACAAAATTTATATATGTAGCATACTAATAATGTCTGCCTTTACTTACCCTTGCATGGACAGAATCCCTTGCAGGCTATCCTTATGATTGTTGAATGTATGCAGTTGTGGTAATCCAATCTGCATAGCGATGAGTATGTACGGTTGTCGGCGCCGCATAAGAAAGTTGGCTTAGCCACCGGGCAGGGCTTACAATTGCTGAGAGAGAGCAAACGGCGGCGGACGGTAAGTGTGCGGTGTTGGTGTTGTTGGCAGCGAGGGGTAGACAACAATTGGCTCAGCATCGGAAGTGGATGGATGGATGGTAGGCATGGTTGCAACGAGATGCAACGGCACGTTCAGCAGCCACAGAGTAGCGGATAAGCGAAGAACAGCAGCAGCAGCAGCAGCAGCAGTTAACCAAGCATCAGCATGAAAGTAGAATAAAAGAGAAGAGAGAGTTGGAAAAAGGGCAAGCGTTATTGAACAGTTGAATGTTGAATGCAGGAAATCGTTTTTGTTGTGGCACGCAAAGAGAGAGAGAGCGAGTAAGTGAATGAAGTAGTGGAAAATTAATTTCTTATGCAAATTTTAGTCCAATGGCAGGCAGCGCCAGTCAGCTGCCAGTTAACTTGAAATATTTCACACAGAAATGCATACACACAGACCATACATACATATGTACATTAGACCGTATCCAAAAAAGAAAAATAAGGATTCGTCTTCCAACTCCTGGTTTGAATTCTTTCTGCAGGGCATTTCTGAAAACAATTATTTTTTTAACCGACTTAAGTTGGACCTTAAGTTATCATATATCGATATTTTGTCAAGGATACAATTTCTTTGTGTTCCAAAATTCATTGACCTCAAGTACCCCGTTCTAGTACTTACCCTCTAGATCTCATTTCTTATCACACTAACGTACCACCCTAATATCGGCAAATTTAACCTCACCAAAAATCATTAAACTTTTGCTAAGAAAGTGAATATGTATTTTTATTATCCTAATAGTGTAAAAAATATTCCTGAATTACTAAAAGTCGACCTCCAAGGTACGGCCAAAAAATTTATTTTTACTTAATTGCCTGTCAAAAGTACTTTAAGAGTTAGGAGTGTACGGCGAACGTTTGTTTGTTTGCTGGTAAGGTGGTTCGGTCTAAAATACATATCTTCATAGTATAAATTGGGTTAGGTCGTGAAGGAATTTAGTTAATTACCCACCCTAGTTTGGAGAGCTTACTTTGAGAAGAGTTTTGCTTCTTAACAATTTGTGGCTGTGCTGCATTACCCTTAAAAATCGCACTGCCTTAAACCGAGCGATACAATTTTTTACCTAAATAAATGACTACATACACTCAATTTTGGTTGTAATAACGAATTTTTCAAGGGTACTAAATATTTGGCTAGTTTTTTACTCTAACTTTTACCATTATTTTTGTTTTAATTTTCTGAATATATGTATGTAGCCACTTGAAAGACACCGGTATCCCTCTAGGTGTACTTCTGTCTTAAAAAAAAAAAAAAAACACCTTCCATATAATAAATAATACTGGTAGTGTCAGTTACTGTCGAAATTCGACCGGTTTTCTAGTTTTTTTCAAGAGCCTTGGAGAGTTTTCCTAATTTAGCACGTCGTTTAACTTATAAGGTGACTACAATTTTTTATATCTTTTTTGGTCATTGGAGGACTTTGGCAGGACTTGAAATTGATCCGATAATTTGATGTAACTTTGAAACCATACAAATTCTCTTCATCTACTGAAAAATGTATTCCATATGGTGTTCTTGATTTTCAAATCGGTTCTGTAGAATCGCCAAACGAACGGTAACGGCAATATTTATGTTAGAGTACTAATATATATAAACATGTAAATAGATATCGTAGGCGCCTTTAAGTTTGTAATAGCATCAAGAGGCACACTACATGATGTCATATAAGTACATAATTTTTTATATTATTAATTATATGTACATAGTTACCAGGTGATAACCAGCGTGAGCTAATTTATTGAATATATTTTGAATATCAAGTGGCTTTTAAAAGTCAATAGCCTCTCTGTTAAGATCATAAAAATAATGCTATTTAACTTACCACTCAAACCATTTGGTCCTTGACAATGAAAAGAATAAACTCAAATCAAGGGCGAAAATCACTATAGGACAATGATAATAAATTTGCGATTTTCATTTCATCTTGAAAAGGCGCTTTAGACGTTTTGAAAACGTATAGTGCTGTTCCTTTTTTTCCGTTTAGATAAAGCAATGATTTAAAGCTTTTGTCAGAAGTGAAACGTTCGGCTCCGATCTTTTGCGAGTACAAACAATTGATAACACAGCCTAGTTACATGACCTTTTCAAACAAGTTCGAGATATTCGGTCAAGTTTATGAATTCCACAAATTCGAACCGAACCTTGCGCAGCTTTTTGGGATTTGTAATGAACTCTAGTTATGATCTGAATTCGAAATCAATTGGTAGCAATAAAATGCTAGTGATAGCCGCACATGTAAAAGCCGAACCTCATACATAAACCTAATAATAAACCTAACTAGTAAATTGTTTTTAATCGACTTAAAAAAGTAGAAGGTTATCAATTCGTTGGAATATTTTTTTTATGTATGTAAATTTGGACCACGTCAACCAGTCTCGATAATTCTTTTTCTATCGGAAAAGTAGTGTCCCCGAGGTGGCCCCATACTAATTTTGTTTAGCTCCGGTCATTGGATCCTGAATAAATTGACGGTACTCCTAAACTTTTATGTATATAAGAATAGAAGTCGGTTGTGTTTTTTGCTTAAAAATTACTTGTTTAATTTTGGTTAGTAGTTTATAATATTTAATTTCCTATATATAATTTAATAACAAATAGTGATGCCCTGTACAAATACACCCACACATAAATATGTATGTACATACATACATACACAATGGAATGTTGTGAGCCCTAGCAGCTGTACACTTTTATTAAAAATTCAAATACATATGTACATATTTAGATACACTCACATTTTGGCGATTAGTTTTTCGTTTTGCCCATTCCAAAATAATCTACCATTCAAAAATAATGATAGGACACTCTTTTACTTCCCCGCATACCACCCACCA